CAATGGTGAGGGAAGCAGGCCTGTAAATGAGAAATATTCTGTCCAAACATAGCTGTGAGTAGGAGTCTGAGCATTGGGCCCTGTAGGAGCATACACAAAGGACATCTGTCCCAGTCTGACAGGCTCAGGGAAACATCCTCAAGGAAATGATGGAGGTTGGTGGATGTGAACAAACCTACAAATAAAAGATACCATGACCCCTTGAGACACAGCTGGTAGTTCAGTGTGGCTGAAGCATGTATCAAAGCTGAGAGAGATAAAATTATAAGGGCTAGACAGATGAACAGAGAGCAGATCTTGAAATGTTCCATGTTTGCTTATAAACTAAGAAGGAAGAAAATGCAAATGAATTCTCGTTCATATTTTTTGATGTCAGGTGATAGTGTACCTATGTAAGGCCTTAGTTTTTCCTGTGCTATATTTCACCATTTCAGTAGCATGAAACTCAATAAATATTTGAATGAATGGATAAATGAATTTTGAACCTTGACTCTACTATTCCTCAAATCAGATACCCATTAGTCAATTTCTTTTCTTGACACTTCAGTCTCCTTACGTCCTCTTCCCACAAAAATATATTATTTGTCTTTAGGAAATTTTCATTATAGAAAGGAATAGAATGTTATAGCAGTAAGACCTCCCCACTGCAAACATGGTCTACCCGTAGGGAGGAAGAATGGCTATTCTGATTTACTCCAGGCTGTAGAAAAGGAGACATTGATTCCACGTAATTCAGGGAGTGCTAGAAAGTTTTGCTGAAAGCAGCATTTGAGTTGAGGCTAGGTGGATGAGCAGAATTTTGACAGGTGTGGACAGAGGTTTCATGTGAGACAGTGCTTTGTACATGATTAAATGCTAAACCAAAGTCATTACTATGGTTTAGAAAATAGTTATAGGAAATAGATGATCAGATGTAGGCAAAATTTTGAATATTTATGTATTCCTTCTTAGAAAGTTAAATGGAGTTTAGTCATCAACTGGTGGGTGGATTTCTGAACTAAAACACAAATATATAATAACTACATGTCACATTTCTTCTCCACAGCCAAATTCATATTAATCAAATCCTTTTCCCTTGTTCCTAAGCAGAAGCAAGAATACATTAAAAATTGTAAATATTAGCATAGAATTTGCAAGTCAGCCCATCCTATTACAAATGCAGTTGCAAAGGTCTAACCTTCTGTGCTCTTGTCCACACTCTGTGCAGGCCTGAGTACTTCCCCCAGGATGGATAACTAGCACTAGGAAAGACAGTAAATGCTTGTAAGCATCATCATTTCTTCTGTCCTTGTCTACTGTCCCCACATTTACTGTTGCCTACACATCTATGCAGGTACATGCATGAGTGAAGGCATGCAATCACCTCCAACACACACACATGTGCAACCCACTTGGAAATACACAATGCACAGGTACAATTCAAAGGTGAGAATACAGAACACTCTTCCAGTACCTAAAATATAAATTCTTATTGCTTTCATTTTTAAGGTAGAATGTAGTGCAAAATCCTGTTTCAAAGGTGCTTTTTTTC